AAGAAGAAAAGATTATAATCTCCCAAATGTTTTGGTTCTTAGTTTGGGGACAACATGAGGGACTTTTAATCTTGGACTTGCTTATAATTACTACCCATTGCAACTTATAATTTATAAGAGATGAGAACTTAATCTTCTATAGTTTCCTTTTTCAACAATTTTAGCTTGAAATTTGAAGAATTATGGTGGTGGATTTTTAATTCAAAACAACAGCAACAACTATTATTCAACCATATATTTCGACTGAGAGTGGGGTGAGAAGAAGAGAAATTTTATTTCTAGTTTAGTACTTATTTTAATATATATATATATATATATATAGTGGGGATGTAATTATTTTATTTCTAATATGAAGTTTTGAAAATCTAAAAATTATTTTTCCTGTGAATATATTAAAATAAAATTTCCATAATATTTTGTTTTTTGGGATGCATTATGAAAGTAATTACTTAAAAATACAAAAAAAAACTCATTCTCTACTTGTCAATAACATGTTCTTTTTAGACATTCGACTCACCATAGCATTTTTCCACAGCAATACCGAACACTCAAAGATCTCAAACTACATTTTTTTTTTCACAATTAATGCACTTTTCTCGATCCCAACATTTTTCAACCGCTGTTGAAATGCCAAACTAGGCCTTAGTACGAGATTTCAAGTATTTATCATGTATTATCTCTCTTTCATTAATAAAATTTTGCCTTGTGGAAATTCAACCTTTGGACAGCTAGCACCTGAGCTGAATTTTATTTTCAACAACTAATAAATTGTAATCGAATTGCATAATAATTATTGTTTGTTTGGGTAAGTGCTCGTTTCTAAATTTTGTGTAAGCAAAAGGATAGAATCTAAATCAAAGTTTGTAGCCCAAGTTGTCTTGCTTTCTAACAATTAATACAAATTCATGCTAAGGCATATATGTGGGGAAAGGAACAGTGATCAAGTCGAATAATGAAAAAGAAGAAATAGACGATGCAGTAATTCACTTCCTGGGAATCGGCAAAGCCAGAAGAGAAAGTCCCTGCGAAATATGTGGGCACAGCTCTCAAAGAATTGGGGTTGTAATAACCTGCCTTGACTGCTTCCTCCTAGATCACTCGATCTATGTCTACAAGTATAGTGTCCCTTACTTGAAGTTGCGCCTCAAGAGGAGTGGAACTTGCACTGTTCACTCTTCCAAGCCGGCTGATGAGGTTATTCAGACAGCATTTTCTCTCCTGGAGAAAAAATCCTTCGGGAACTACAACTTTTTTTTCAACAACTGCGAGGATTTTGCAACCTACTGCAAAACGGGTCTGGCCACAAGCAATCAGGCAGCTGGGGTCCTATTTGGGTTTAGCGTGCCTGGTGTTATCGGTTATAATGTTTTGAAAGGCATTTTCTTCAGGAATTGAGAAAGAATAAACTGATGGAAAGACTCAAGAAAGTCAGGGAAAAGTTCCCGATTGCTATTTTCTTTAAGGCTATGAAATGTCAGTAAGTACTTGGTCACTTGGCTTGACTCAGGTAGGGTGGGGTGGGGAGGGGATGATGGTAGAGGTCCAAGATTTGAAGTTTACTACTCTCTTTTATCTTGTGCAAAAATATATATACATATTTAATAAGTAAAGTGTTCTTATTTAAAGAATAAATTTCAAGATTGAAGCATTTTTCTCTTGTTTTGATTATTGGTTTGGCTCAAAATAAATTTTGACAAATGATTTTACCATTGGATTGGTCAGCTA